AGCCCCAGTTTCTTTTCTTATATGTGCAAATTGCTTATTTGCTCTTTTCTCCTTATCAAAACTCTTTCCTAAAGTAGTTTATGATTAATAACTACTATATGTTATTGATTATAATTTATTATTGCAAAGCTTATATATAAACTTTCTTAAATTATAAATCTCTTCTCAATTTCTTTTTCCCCATATTATTGGCAAATTGCATTTTTACTTGAACTAGTTTTAATACTACTAAATTCTAGCTATTGAACATTGTTGACATTTAGCCAAGTTAGATTCCATAATTTGTGTGTGTTTTAATTTTCAGACTAGCAGATATTGGAAATATATCCATTTTTCCTACATTTTTCCATCCATAGTGTAATTTTCCTTTCATTCATTTCTATTCCCTCAGGACAAGAACTCATGTCCACGCTGGCATTTTTTAATGAAACAGGCAATATTCAAGCTACTTACACATTTTTCCTAATGGGAAGAATATTTTATGGTCCAAGCAGCCTCTGGTTTCCATTGAAATTAATTTTTGCTAGTGGAGAATTTCAGTTATTCAAGTTCTTCGAACACCTGGGGTGTTTTCTAGCCAAGTTCTTTGTTTTCATAATAGTACAGAAATGAGTACAAAACACAACAGATGACAGTTTCAGGAATCATTGCTATTTTCAGATTCTCATTTTCAGGTGTATTTGGCCATGTGGAGTTACAGCAGGTAATGCACAAACTTTATGCATAGGAAAAAAAATTAGTTTTAGTCTTCATTTATTTCCCCAATTTCAAACCCATAGGGATATTTAATAAGAATGTGGTTACATGTCTACTAGATTCTTTATAACTTTATAATAGTCATGAATAGTAATAGAGAGTAGGCACTAGCTAGGATTCCTGGAAATAAACATTTTACTTTAGTTTTTTTTTTCCTGAGTTCTTCAATATTTGTCAAATCGTAAGTGAAATTCAGAGACAAAGTGAATTACAAGTAATAGTTCTGAAGTTTAGTGACTCTCAAGCTTTCTGAGAACCTAAAGGCATGCATACAGCAGCTGAACTTGAAAACAGAGAAACAGATATAACTGTCATTTCCTAACCTTGAACTTTGGACAAGCAACTTAATTTCCCTGAACCTCAGGTTCTCTTATGTGAAAAGCATGTATTTAAGAATCTCTTTTAGGGGGATTTCTGGCCAACATCCAGTAAGACTCCATTCTTCTTGTCAAGTCCTAAATCAATAAGTAATATTTTTATGAGGCAGTGAGTGAAAATATAAGAACTCTAAGATATCTATGAGGTTTTTATTCAACAAATTTTTTTTAATTTTTTTTATTCAAGATACTATTAATGAGCAAAAAGCATTTACAATGGATTTTCAGTTCTTTATTGCTGAAGTTTCCTCCCTCAAAATGTTTTATATGTTGAGTCACAATATGCCTCACCCATCATTCTTGGAAAGTAGACCAAAAAAAAAGTTACTACTTTCCCTGAGGCAGATCTGCCTATCTTCCTTTTCTTTTCTTTGGAGGGTGAGGTAAAGGTACTAGGGTTTGTACCCAGAGGCACTTTACCACTGAGCTACATGCCAAGTCCTTTTTATTTCTTATTTGGAGACAAGATCTCACTAATTTCTTAGGGTCTCACTTAATCTCCCAGGCTGGCCTCAATTTTGGGATCCTCCTGCCTCAGCCTCCTGAGTCACTGGGATTATAGTGTCCACCACCATGGCTGGTTCAACCCATCTTTTCTTTAACCTGGAATGATTGACAGTGATGCAATCCAACCACAAACTTTATTTTCTAATTTGGAATGCTGAGAGGCAGGCTTTCCATAGTTTCTAATGAACATATCACAACATGATAGCACATTAAAAAAATTATGACAATAATGGAAGATATAAATATTATAACATGTCTCTATTTCCTTTCCTCCTTTTGTTAAAATCTTCATAATTCATCTTAAGAAAAACAGGAAAAGCAACATTACATTCTAGTGACCAAGGACTATTACAAGGCTAAATGTCAAGAAAGCCTTATGGTCTCAGAGGCAGAATTATCTAGGAATCTCCTAGCACATCCCAATAAAGGCAATAATGAGGAGTCAATGAAATGAAGAGGCCTCCACGGTGCCTAGCACATAACTAGCACATCATAAATATTAACTCCCTCCTAGATAGGAAGGGAAAAAAACATTGAGTTAAAGGAAGGCCATGATCATACAGACATTTGATCTAGGGGGTTTGCTGGGTGTTGAACCCAGAACCTTGCACATGTTGGGCAAGTGCTCTGTCATTCTACCACTGAGCTCAATCCATAGACCTTTCTATTTTTATCTTTAAGACAAGATCTCACTAAGTTTCCCAGGCTGGCCTCAAACTTGTGATACCCCAGCCTCAGCCTATAGCTGGGACTGCAGGTTATGCACCACTCTGTCCAACTGATCATCTTTATTTTTAAAAACTTGGTTAGTTTTAATAGATACATTTTTAATATTTGGTAGTTCAAATTTTTTCAAGTTCATATATTTTATTGGTACATTATAATTATACATAATAGTGAGATTTGCTATTACATATTAATTCATGCACACAATATAACAATATAATTTGGTAACTTTAGCTTTGATTCTTAAGTTAAAATATTTTAAACCTCGTATTTTAAAGAGACAATATTGTTTTACTAAGAAATGTTATAAAGATTTTTCATACTATTATATTAAGATAGTAGACACAAACTTTTCAAAGTAACCAAACAAAATATTTTTAAAATATTTATTCTCAATAGAGTCATATCAAATTAAATCAAATTCTCCATAAATTTTTTAAAAAGTATTTATGGAGAAACCTCTCGGGCAATATGGAGCTATCCAAAGCACTATAAAGTGTTGTTTCTTTTTCAAAGAGCTAAAAAATTAGATGGAGATCAGGCAAACATCTATGAAAATAAATAAACTTGAATAAACTGAATATAAGAGCAAGAAATATCCAGGTACTAAAGCTTTAATTCTAAATTAATGATACAACAAGCGCACGATTTCTGGCTAATGGGACCCAAATAGGCATTCAAAAGCAACGGAATTAAGTTAGGATTCAAAGGATGGGTAAGATTTGAGTAGTCTCATATAAGATGGAGCAGAGTGAGGTAATCTTTCCTAAAAGTGAGAACTGCCTCAAAAAAGCATTTAGAAAAGAATGGGAAAATTAAATGGTGTCCAACAGCACCTTTTAAAGATCATTCATGGTGACCAAGTGGGGATTCTTAATAGCACTACAACAATTGTTCCACAAACACACAAACACACACACAAAAAAAATGTGTGTGTGTGTGTGTAAAAATAAAGAACAAAATCACATAATCATCTCAATAGATGCAAAAAAGGCATATGATAAAATCTCTTCACGATAAAAACTTTGACCAAATTAGATACATAGGAATGTATCTCAACATGACACAAGCCCTATATAACAAGCTCACACCCAACTTCATATGGGATGGAGAAAGGCTGAAAACTTCTAAGATTTGGAGCAAGCCAAGGAAACCTCTTCCATCACTTTTGTTCAACATAGTACTGGAAGTCCTAGCCAGAGCATCAGGCAAGAATAGAAAGAAAGAAATGGCATCCAAATAGGAAAGGAGGAAATCAAATTGTCACTACTTGCAGGTGGTATGATTTTTATATGGAAAATTCCAAAGACACCACCAAAAACTATTAGAACTGTTAAATGAATTTAGCAAAGTTGCACGATATTAAATTAACATACGAAAATCAGTAGTACTGCTACACATTAATAGCAAATTATCTGAAAAAGAAATCAAGCAATTAATCCCATTTACAAATGCTATAAAATAATAAAACTCTAGGAAAAAGTGTAACCAATGAAGTATAAAATCTCTATAATAAGTGTTGGGGTTGTGGTTCAGCAGTAGAGCTTTTGCCTAGCATGTGCAAAGCCCTGGGTTCAATCCTCAGCACCACATAAAAACAAGTAAATAAAATAAAGGTATTGTGCCAATACAACTAAAAAAATGCATATTTTTTAAAAATCCCTATAATAAAACAGAAAGAGGAGAAAATGCAATAAAATAGAAATAGTTACTCTATATCCTCAATATCATCAAGGAAATGCAAATTAAAACCACAATAGGATATACCTCACTCAAATAACAATGTTTATTATCAAAGGATAACAAGTATTGGGGCTGGGTATATAGCTCAGTTGGTAGAGTGCCTGCCTAGCATTCACAAGGCCCTGGGTTCAATCCCCAGAACCATCAAAAATATAACAGAATAGGTAAGAATAGGAAGTAAAGGGAACTTTGCACACTGTTGATGGGAATATAAATTATAAAGAATATAAGTAATCCATTGTGGAAAACAGTAAAGGAGGTTCTTCAAATTTTTAAAAATGGAACTACCATATGATCTAGCAATCTCATTACTGTGTAACTTTCCACTACTGGAAATACAAAAGGAATGAAATCAATATGTCCAGGAGATAACTGCACTTCCAGATTATTTGCAGCACTATTCATAATTGCCAAGAAATGAAAACAACAAAAGTGTTCATCAACTGATAAGTGGATAAAGAAAGTGTGATACATTTGCACAACAAAACACTATTCAGCCTTTAAAAGTTAAAAAAGAAATTCTATCATTTGTGACAACATGGGTGGAACTTGGAGGACACTATGTTAAGTGAAATAAGTGGGCACAGAAAGGCAAATAGCAATGGTCACTCATATATGGATCTAAAAAAGTTGATATCACAGAAGTTAAGAGACTGGAGAGAGTAGGGTGGAAGGAGAAATGAGGAAAGATTGGCCAACAGGTACTGAATTATGGAAAGGAAGGAGAAATAAGTTCTAATTTTTTTCTTTGCACAGTGGGGTACTACAGATCATGATAATGTACTGCATATTTTTAAAGTTAGACAAAAAGTTGAACACAAAAATCCAATTTAAAAAGTGGGCTAACAAACTAAGCAGACACTTCTCAGAATAAGACTTAGAAATGGCCAACAATTACATGAAAAAGCTCAATTTCACTAATCATCAGAGAAATTCAAATTAAAACCACAATGAGTTATCATCTTACTGTAGTTAGAATGGCTATCATCAAAAATACACACAAAATAATAATAATAATATCAACAACAACAAATGCTGGTGAGAATGTAGAGAAAAGGGAATGTAAATAAGTACAACCATTATGGACCACAGTATGGAGATTCTTCAAAAAACTAAAAGTAGAATTACAGTATGACTCAGCAATTTCACTACCAAGTATATATCTAAATAAAATGAAATCATTACACCAAAAAGATACCTGCACTCCCAAGTTTACTGCAGCACTATTCACAGGCCAAAATATGGAATCACCCCAGATGCCCTTTAGTGAATGAATGGATAAAGAAATGGTGTGTTTACCCAATGGAATATTTTTCTGCCTTTAAAAAAAAATAATCCTGTCATTTGCAGCCATACTGAAGGAACTGGAGGTCCTCATATTAATTGAAACAAGTCAGTCAGAAAGACAAATACCACAAGTTCTCACTCATTTGTAGAAACTAAGTTAACCTTGAGGACACATGGAATAGAAGAGTGGTCAACAGAGACTGGGAAGGGAAGGAGGGAGGGAGCAACGAAAGAAGTTCAATAAAGGACCATCAAAACAAAATCGAGGTATTACTTCTGGTTCTTCTCTTAACACAGTAGGGTAACCTTTGGTTAAAAGAATTTGTTGTACATTTCAAAATGACTACAAGAGTGGACTCGGGTTGTAGCTCAGTGGTAGAGCACAGGCTAGCATGTGTGAGGCACTGGGTTCAATCCTCAGCACCACATAAAAATAAATAAATAAAGGTAGTGTGTCCATCTACAACTAAAAAAAATTTTTTAAAATGCCTAAAAGAGTACAAATTCCCAACACATAAAAATGACTAGTGGTTAAAGAGACAGAAATGATTATTACCCTGACTTGACTATTACACTTTGTATACTTATACAAAGTTACCATAATTTACTCCATAAAACTATACAAATGTTGGGTCTCAAGAAAAGAATGCAATTTATATTTTTTGTGAATGAAGGATTCTGAAAAAAAATGAGTATTTTGAAAATAGATGACTATTCAAATATTTAATTTTTAAATTAAAAGAGCTTATAAAACTTTTTTTAAAAGAAAGGTTATTGAATATTTTTACCACAAAATGATTAACAAATGCTTAAGGAAACAGAGATGTTTACCCAGATTTGAAATTACACAATGTATATGTGAATCAAAACATCACATGGTACATGGTGTCTTCATCCTCACGGGCTGTACTTGTAAGACTCCATGGGAACACAGCTTTTGGGATTCAGACACCTGTTTGCTTAGGTCGAGTACCCCATAAATATGTATAATTTTGTCTTTAAAATCACTTACATATGTGAGTAAACCCCTCCATGTGAGAAGAAAATTTGTGCCAAGAAAGGCCTGTACTAATATGCTTGTGGGAAGAAAGGTATGAAGAACGCTAGGTTAAAAAGTCATGAGCAATAGTAGCATGCTGCCCCAGAAGGCAACTTTTACACAGATAGTGTTCAATTGACACTTATAATCTGGACAATGATTGTCCACCCAGAAGGCACAGGCACATAATGAATATCTCCCGGAAACTTCTGTAAATAGGCTTTTGAGATTCTCAAAATAGCCATAAATCTTCCTAAGAAATTGGCCTGATACAACAGCCGACTTCAATGTGACGGTTCCAAATAGCCTGAGAGCTCACAGTAAAAAATACACATATTTTTAAATTAGCCAAGATAGTGGTAGAAAAATTAAATATGCCCTCATATCAATAAAAGGAAAGGAAAGGGAAGAGAAGAGAAAAATAAAGAAGGGATTGAAAGGGAAGGACAAAGAAGAAAAAACAAGGTCTGAAACATGACATGAGATTCATTAGAAAACTAGCTTTGGGTTTCTGAGAAGTCTAAGAAAAACATAAAGTACACAAGTTGCCTAATTTGAAAAATAATGATAAAAGCACATCAGTCATCACTCTAAGAAGAGAACTATGTCCTGGTTTTGAACTCTAATAAAAATGTATTGAGCAAGCACCAATTAACAAAAGAAGAAGGAGGAAAAGGAGAAGGAGAACAAGTCTAATATAATATATGTTACCATTGAGGAAATTTTTCTAAAAAAAATGAGGAGACATTATGTATCTGGTCATTTTTTATATTGACACAATTAAAACTAAGAATTTATAGTATTAAATCACAGTTCTATAAATATATTCCATAAGATAAATTAAGTAGCTCTCTAATGTTCTTGAAGACTATTCAAATAATGGTCAATCCATTATTTGAAAAATAATTATTTAATATTTTTATTAGAATATTTTAAATATTTAATTGTTTAATATTTTATGAGAATATTTTTATTCTTAGATATTATGTCAGCCAAGTTTTTGATAGACCACAGCAAAAAACATTAAAAAGTAAAGTCCTTGTAGAAGTCCAGGTTTTCCAGTTATTAGTTGAAAGGATCATTATATGCTTTGCTTTCTAGATTTATCAGTGACAAGTTGATAATTTATTATGAAAATTTTAAAGTTTAACTTATCACCTGCTCAAATCTTCAAATTCTGCTCCGTAAAACAAGGAGTAGAACATCTCATTCTAAAAGATTTTGATAGTAGGAATTACCAGATGCCTCTGACTATCATAAAACAATCATGTAATTCTGTAGAATACTTAATTTTCATCAATGTTCAGTCTTGATGGGCCTCCAAAGATCACTTAGAACAAAATAGCCACCCAAATATCTAAACGAGTTAAACTGTTACATAGAGTTGTTCCGCATTATCCATCTGGGTGCTGAAGAAAGTCATCCTAAAGGGATGGTTTTATTTTTTCAATAACTGATACTTCACCATTCCTTCTGTTAGCAATTAGCCAAGAGGTTCAATTGCTCATTTACACAACTCCCAGTAGACTCTGACAATACTACATGCCTCCACAAAGAGAGAAGATTCTTCGCTTCCCTTTTTGCTACAATAAAAATATATGTACCTAGTTTATCCAGAATTTGTCAAACTGCTTAGACTGTAATGAAGAAAGGTAAAGTCCTAAGGCTTCCTATAGTTAAAGATAGGAAAGGCTCTTTTCTAGCCACTAGATTCTTAATGCAATAAAGCTTCTGGGACAGAAACTGAAGAAGGGGCCAAGAAGCTGCAGTGAAACCATAAACACTTATCCCCAGACCTGAGAGCAAAGAATAGATTACCAGATACTACAAAAATCTTAAATTATTCTTACTCTTTCTCTAACAATGGAACAGAACATAGCTATGGCATAGCAGAACAGCTGTGGCTAAAGCAAAAATTACTTCATTAAACACAACGAAGAGAACATAAAATTGAGAACCCTGTAATTCCCTGAGAACAAAGCTGATGTGCCTCTGGGAGGATTATCCTTTTAAACTCATAGACATGGTGTGTGCAGATCAGAGCTATTTATTTACTGGAAAACATGCTTTGAGTTCCTCTTGAAGAACAAATACTCTGGGAATTAAAGTCTTCTGTTTTAGAAACCTTGAGGTACACCAATGAGAGCAGGATGATTTGGTAGGAAACAATCTTCACTAGGATTTATTCAACTTAAAGTGATTAAATAGATGTGCTGAACTTAGCAGTTACTGCATCCGAGGTAGGGAGGCGATGACATTTACAAAGCAGGACGGGAACTTGCAGAGCTTAACATGGGAAGAGAACTGTGCTTCAAAAGCAGAGATGTGGGTCAGCAAGACGACGAACTGGGAAACTACAGGCTCTCCTTGCCTGACAAAGACACCACATTCACAACAATATTGAGACCTGAACACCGCAGTGAAAACTCTGAGATCAATGGAGAAGCCACAGCACCCAGCTCTTCATGAAACAAAGGCAGAAATCCCATGAACAGTAAGAGAATTCACAGCAGTTGGCACACTCACTCGAGACCCTCCCTCAGCTTAACGCAGAGCAACTGCAAGAATCGCCCGCTCTGGGACAGACACTGAAGAAAGGGCCAGGAGTCTTCCCCGCACCTGACAGGGAACTTGTTTCTGTCTCATCGGACTCAAGAGTGCTGACAGGATTGGCACCAGAGTTCAAAAACCGTTGAAAACAAAGGAGAGCAGAATGTTGGAACTGCAGTTCCACAAACGACACCAGGGGGAGGAAGAGATCAGAAAACATTTGAGAAGTTTTCCAGCCTAGCTGATCACAAAGGGTCTCCCCCTGCACAACGTCAGTAAGCAAAGATTGGGACATGGAGGAGTTGTTTCAAATGCTCAATCCCAGCAAAAAAAAAAAAAAAAAAAAAGAAGAAGAAGAAGAAGAAGAAAGAAAATTACAAAGCACACAAACATGAAACTATGGCTCAATGGAGGAAACAAAAATATAACTCCAGAAACCAGTCCTTAAAAAAAAGCAGATCTAGGGCTGGGGCTATAGCTCAGTGGAAGAGCCCTTGCCTAGTATGTGTGAGGCACTGGGTTCCATCTTCAGCACTGCATAAAATAAACAAATAAAATAAGGGCATGCTGTCCATACACAACTACAAAAAAATAAATTAATTAATTAAAGCAGATCTATGAGCTGCTTGATAAGGACTTTAAAATAACTAATATAAGGACTTAATGAGTTAAAAGAGAACATGGACAACTAAATGAAATCAGAAAAATTATGCAAAAACAAAATGAAAGTATCAGCAATGACAACAAAAAAAATTTAAAGAAAAACAGAAATTCTAGAACTGAAAGTAAAATGACTGAACAACTCATTAAAGGGTTGTAACAGCAAACTTGATCTGGCAGAAGAATCAACAAGTCAAGAAAAAAACAGAAATTATCTAGTTGGATAAACAAAAAGAAGAAAAGCAAAGAAAATCTAAGGGATGGCTCAAAATGGATTAAAAATCTAAACATAAGATCCAAAACCAGTCCTAGAGGAAAACATAATGTACATACACAATGGAATACTATTCAGCCTTAAAAGAGAAGAAAATCCTCTTACTTGTGACTTCATGGATGCACCTGGAAGACCTTTTGTTAAGTGAAATAAACGAGGCACACAACATTTTATATGTAGAATATTTAAAAAAACAAACTCATAAATATGACAGTGGAATGGTGGTTACCAGAGACTGGGAGCAGATGACATGCAGGGCTGTTGGTCAAAGGACACAAGATGTCAGTTTTGCATCCTCACCACACACCAAAAAAATGATACGTGAGGTAACATGTATATTCATTAGCTTTATTTAGCTATTCCACAACACACATATATTAAAACATCATGTCGTACACCATAAATTTGTATGTTTATATATTTGTTTCTAGTAACATCATGACCTCCAGTTTCATGATTGGAGTGGGGTTAGTCCTGTTAATGGTCCACCATACTGCTGGAAACAAAAGAAGCCCTTCTGGCATGTGTTCACATAATACATTAAAAACTATCGAAGAAAATTAAGAGTGCTATAATATGGCACCAGAAATGGAACACCATCATTTGGTCCTGAGCTTTCATGAGCAGACACTGATAGAACCTGGTTGCTGATGTTGGTGGTAGGGAAAGGAAACTAATATCCTATAACTAATATCCTAAACCTTCCTCACCCTACCCCACCAGCCTCATTAAAGAAGAAAAATAAAAAGAAACTGCATTTGATCTTAAAAAAAAAAATTATGTAGGCCAAATATCATGGTAACTCACAGACAACTCATGAGTTGAAGATTAGAGTATGCTATATGTGTAATATGAATTGAATCGCATTCTGCTGTCATATGTAACAAATTAGAATATATTTTCAAAACACACACACAAAAAGTTAGCATATGCTTGAACCTAAAAAAGATATGAATTATACATAAGAGAAAAAATTAGTGTAATGAAAAATAAAAAAGGTGCTAAATTATATTTGTAATCCAGGCTTTTTTCATATTTCACTATTTTGTGTGTGCAGTTTGGAAGCACATGACTACTTTTAAAATCTAAAGCAAGAAAATGATGATTTTTTTCACAAAACTTGCTTCCTTCTAGTGCCTGTGAGTCTTTTCATACTACGCCCCTCACTGCTGCTGTTGTAATTGCAGCTAGGTGACATTCAGTAACTCCAGAAAGCACTCCTGCTGGGCACCTCACTCTCTACTGCTGGAGACATCAAGTTCAAGGGTGGGGGCTGGGGTTGTGGATCAGCGGTAGAGTGCTTGCTTCGCATGTTCGAGGTTCTGGGTTTGATCCTCAGCACCACATAAAAATAAATAAAAGTATTGGAAAATAAATATTTTTTTAAAAAAGAGTTCAAGGGTGTTCAAAGCCTGAATGTTCTCTCTGATAAGTGAATGTTGACCCATATGGGGTGGGGGGGGGATTTTGATTGGGCAAAGAGGAGGGAGGGAAAGGGAATGGGCATGAGGGTAGGAAAGATGGTGGAATGAGATGAACACCATTACTCTAGGTATATGTATGACTGCACATGTGGTATGACACTACATCCTGTACAACCAGAGAAATGAAAAGTTGCGCTCCATTTGTGTACAATGAATTGAAATGCATTCTGCTATCATGTATAACTACTTAGAACAAATTGAAGAAAAAAAAAAGAGTTCAAGAGAATTGTGAAGACTTCTCTTCCTTATTGAGATTGTACTTGGTTCAGGAGTACTCAGTCAGATCTTTAAACCGGGAAGAGACTCCCAGACTATTAGTAAGGATTACTCTTCTAGTGACTTCAAATGTAGCCTCCTCCACATAACTTGGGCATAAAACTAGCAGACCAATTCAACTGGCAAATAGCATGCAGTCTACAAAATCTTCCCTGCCATTCCATGTGCAAACTTGGAGGCTCGGTTAGTAGGCAAACCTGTCTGCCCAGTCTTTTCTTTGAAATGAGTAATCACCTAGGAAACCCACATGCATAGATTTCTAGCTGACACTAGGTGATATGGAATATCAGAGGACCATTTGCACCCAGATCTACCAAATCAATATGAATCAGGTCAGAACATAGAGCTTAGGCTCAAGCTGATACTCCTGCCAAACAAACATAGTTTCTTCTAACACCTTCATTCCTTCCCGGAAAATCTTAGCTAACATTAAGTCAGAGATTTTCTGAATAATGTGCAATGTGACACCAAATTTAACTTTTCTTATTGTCTATGAGTTTCATCAGAAGTCTCAAAACTGAGAATAACAGGTATCATATAAACCCACAAGTGGAAAAAAAAAAGTTTATAAGTGAGGAGATAACACTACGTACCTATTAGAAAGGCTACGGTAACAAATGAAAGTACCAAATGCTGGTAAAGATGTAGAGAACCTATATCCATCATACATTATTGGTGAGAATATAAAATGCTGTAGTCACTCCAGAAAATAATTTTGGCAGTTTTTTATAAAATAAAATATATATTAAGGGAGGATGAACACTACCCTTCCTGAGTGTCAGTTTCTGCGGAGCTGAAGTTGCCTGTGGAGCTTGGAAAAGAGCTCTCAGAAAACCTGGATCTGTGTCCTCTGGAGTGAGAGAAGACAAGACCAGTGTGCCTGGCCCACACATGAAGGAGCCTGAAGGGAAGAGATTGGCTGGAGCTTTCCCTTTGGGGTCATCTGGGGAGCTGAGGTGCCCCTCCACAGAAGACAGGGCAAGAGCCCTGTGAGTATAACCAAGATAAGCATGAGCTTTCTTGAAAGAACCTTCACAAAAAAAAGTAAACTGTCTCAGAAGAAGAAGCTGAGTGGGATTCCTAAAAGGTGAAGAAAAGGAATTAGCCTTGTCATGAACCACAAGACAAAGTCAACAGTGGCAAGCCAAAGGTCAAAGAACCAAAGGAGTATCTGCCATGACAGAGGATAGCTAAGAGAGAGCTACAAACAGGCTGCAGACAAGAAAGATCTCTCCGTTTTCTTTTTATCACTGATCCCCAATGTGGTCTTTCAAAAGCCACAAAGCAGCAGATTGGAAGGAGGAGGGCAATGAACAGCACAAATACAAATACAAAAAAAAAAAAAAAAAAGCCATACACTCCACAACCACAGCTTTCCAAACTTGGATAGCAAAAGATAGATGTTTAGAATTAGGCGAGAGATGGGGGTTTTGATTCAGATTGAATTGGGTTTCTTAACTCCTAAAAATGAAAATTTGTCACTGAGACCTGAATATGACCAAAGAGCTAAGGGATCTACCAAGATATTATCAGGAATGAGAATGACAGAGCCCACAGACATATTTGAAGGGCAATCACAGGGAAAAATCTGGCTGTTTGTTAAGTGCCTTCCACCAAGTCCTTTTCAATAACCATGGCAATTCCCCTTGATCTCTGAACTGGTTCTTTGTTTATGCTAACTACATCTTCCTCTGATATTCCATATCACCTAATCAAGTGTTTTGAAGAGATATAATGTCTTTCCTCAAAGAATTGCTTGCTTTAGAGTTTTCTGAATTTTGTAAATCAGATGGTCATAATTTCCATCCAACTGGTTTCCACATCTATTTTTTTTTATCACTAGATTGCCCTGACCCAGTGCCAGTCAATACTGTGTTGATAATAATATTTGTAATAAACAAGATCATAAAAGTGATAATCATGAGTGAGGCTTGTGTAATTTGGATATCCCCTGAATTATTAACTATAATTCCTCTTAGAAAACCATCTCTTCTGAAATAACCCCTTACACTGACCATTTCTGTGGTTATTGTTCAGAACCTGGTAGATCAATTATCCAAGGAGAGGGGTTCTGGTGTTTTCTTCTTAAAATAACCTATTTTGATTAGCAAAGTCTCCCAAAGATGACTCATTGAAAATTACTTTGTATGAATCACTGGAAAATCTGAACCTTTCCAAATTCTACCTTCAAGTGAACAGTAGAGGCAATATTTGGCAGCTTATTT